TGGGTTTGTCTCGGCATGTATAGTCCCAAGTATATTTTATATTGTTTACAGTTATTTTAAATGGAATTTCTCTTTCTGTCTCTTGCTGCTGGGATTCATTGATGATTTGTGGGTTTATCATATATCCTGCAACTTTGCTAAAGTTGTTAATTATTTCAGGTAGTTTTTTAGTTGATTCTCTAGGTTTCTCTAAGTATTCTACCATATCATCTGCAAAGAGTGATAGTTTTATTCCTTCATTGACTATTCTAATTCCTTCACTTTCTTTTTCTTCTTTTATTGTTATAGCTAAAATTTCTAGTACTATGTTGAATAATAGTGGTGTTAATGAACATCCTTTCTTCACTTCTGATCTTATTGGGAGGGTTTTTGAGCTTATCCCCATTACAGATAATGCTTGCTGATGGTTTTAGATAGATACTGCTTATCATCTCAAGGAATTCTCTCATTATTTCTATGTTTTTTAATAGGAATGGGTGCTGTGTTTTGTCAAAAGCTTTTTCTGCCTCTATTGAGATAATCATATAATTTTTTTAAAGTTTTGTTATTGATGTAGTCAATTATGTTGGTAGTTTTTCTAATATTGAACCAACCCTACATTCCTGGTATAAATCCCACCTGGTCATAATGTATAATCCTTATGATATATTGCTATAGTCACTTTGCTAGTATTTTGTTCAACATTTTTGCATTGATATTCAATTAGGAAATAGGTCTGTGTTGATTTAGTTATCAGCACCATATTTGCATCATAAAAGAAGTTTGGTAGGACTCCTTCTTTGCCCATTTTTCAACAAGTTTATATAGCATTAGAATTAATTGTTCTTTGAATATTTGGTAGAATTCACTCGCGTACCTATCTGGCCTTGGGGATTTTTTCCTACAGAGTTCATTCATGGCTTAATTTCCTTTTCTAATATGGGGTTATTTAGGCATTGTATTTCTTGATCTATTGAGCTAGGTAATTTATATTTGAATAAATTTTCATTGATTTTACTCAGATCATCAGATTTATTGGTGTATAATTGGGCAAAATACTTCTTAATAATTGCTTTAATTTCTTCTTCATTGGTGGTGATTTCACCCTTTCCATTTTTTTGTATACCAGATATTTGGTTTTAATCAAATTAATTAGTGGATTGTCTATCTTACTGTGTTTTTTCATAAAATCATAAAATCCTAGATTTATTTATTAGCTACATAGTTGTTTTTTTTTTTTTGCTTTCAATCTTATTAAGCTCACCTTTGATTTTCAAGATTTCCAATTTGGTGCTCAATTGGGGATTTTTAATTTGTTCTTTTTCTAGTTTTTTAATTGCATGCTCAATTCACTGATTTGTTATTTTTCCATTTTTTGGATGTAAGAATTGAGATAAATAAATTTTCTCCTAAGTACTTCTTTGGCTGCATCCCATAACTTTGTTGTCTCATTGTCATTCTCTTTAATGAAATTAATGATTGTTTCTATAATTGGTTGATCCACTTATTCCTTAGAATTAGATTATTTAGTTTCCAAGTAATTTTTTAATCTATCTTTCCACTGACCTTTGAATGCAATTTTATTGTATCACGATCCAAAAAGAGTACATTTAATATTTCTGCCTTCCTACATTTGGTTGTGAGATTTTTATGCCCTAATACATGGTCAATTTTGGTGTAGGTGCCATACGTTCCTGAGAAAAAGGTATTTTCCTTTCTCTTGCCATTCGGTTTTTTCCAAAGGTCTGTCATATCTAACTTTTCTAATGTTCTATTTACATCCTTAGTTTCTTTCTTGTTTAATTTTTGTTTAGATTCATCAAGTTCTGAGAGGGGGCAGTTGAGGCCCCCCACTAGTAGAGTTTCGCTCTTTATTTCTTACTATAACTCACTTAGCTTCTCCTTTAAGAATTTGGATGCTATGCACTTGGTGCATATATATTTAGATACCTTTTAGCAAGATGTAATTTCCTTCCTTATCTCTTTTGATTAGGTCTATTTTTGTTTTTACTTTGTCTGAGATCAGGATTGCTACTCCTGCTTTTTTTTTTTTTTTTACTTCAGCTGAAGCGTAACCGATTCTGCTCCAGCCTCTTACCTTTTCTCCATGTGTGTCTCTCTGCTTCAAATGTATCTCTTGTAAACAACATAATGCAGGATTTTGGTTTTTGTTCCAAGCTGCTAGCCACTTTCATTTTATGGGAGAGTTCATCCTATTCCTATTCGTAGTTACGATTACTACCTGTGTTTTTCTTTCCAGACTATTCTTCCTCCTGTTTGTTTTCTCTCCTCTCTTCCTGTTTTGCTTCTTTCTGCTACCTCCCCTGATCTCCCCTCCCTTCTGTCAGTCCCTATCCCCTCCTACTTCCCTTTTGGGTAAGATAGATTTCTATATTCAATTGATTGTGTATACTATTCCCTCTTTGAGTCAGTACCGATGAGAGTAAGGTTCAAGTGATCCCCACTGACCACCCTCCCATCTTCCCTTCCACTATAATAGCTCTTTCGTGTCTCTTCATGTGAAATATTTTACCCCATTCTACTCCTCCCTTCCTTCTGCACCCAATATAGTCCTCTTTCTCATCCCTTACTTTTCATGTCATTCTCTCAAATTCATCTTGTACTTGTACCTTCTGTCTATGTATGTTCCTTCTGGCCGTACTATTAGTGATATTTTTTTAAAATAATTACAAGTATTTTCCCATGCAGTGATATAAACAGTTTAGCTCTGTTGAATCCCTTATGTTTTTTTTCTCTTTTATCTGTTTATACTTCTCTTGGTTCTTGATATTGGAAATCAAGTTTTTGCTTTAATTCTGATCTTCTTATGAATGCTTGAAATCCTTCTGTTTCATTGAATGACCATTTTTTGCCTTAATGTATTATGCTTAATTTTGCCAGGCAAATGATTCTTTCTTGTAGTCCTAGTTACTTTGCCTTATGGAATATCATGTTCCATGACTTCTGATCTTTTAATGTCACAACTGCCAAGTCCTATGTAATCCTGCCTGTGGTTCCCCAGCATTTGAATTGTTTCTTTCTAGCCACTTGTAGTATTTTTTACTTGATAGTTTTGAAATTTGCTCATAATGTTCCATAAAGTTTTTATTTTGGGATCTCTTTCCTGAGATCGGGATATTCTTTCAGTGCCTATTTTGCCCTCTGTTTCCGGGATATCAGGATAGTTTTTGTTGATAACTTCTTGAAAGATGCTGTCCAGGTCCTCCTTTTGATTTGACATGGTTTTCCTCTTCTGAGTTTGTGTCTTGATCTTCCCTGCTACCATAAAAACTTTCTAAGGTAAGATTTTTTTTTGTTGTTTTTTGGCTCATCTGTTTTGGCCTTTAACCTTTCTTTTAAATTTGAGCTCTGCTCCTGGGGTGAAAGGGACACTGTATCAAGCTTCTTGTGCTGAGGCTGCAGGTATGGATTGTTTACCCGGCACTGCACTTATGTTGTTCTGAGGCCCACTCAGGCACTCACATCTGGTGCTGCACTGAGGGGGTTGGGTGAAGGGTGGTTGGTGCTGTTGGAAGCCTTAAGGATTTGAAAGCTTACCTGGTGTTGGGCTGGGGTCCTAGTGGTGGTGTCTGGCATGTGCTAAGGCTGTTGGGATATTTCTTCATTTCTCCAGGACTACACTGAGGCAAGTGGTAGTCTGGCTGCTGGTGGCTGCCTGATTCCCAGTGTTGTGCTGAAGCATGTAGCAGGGGCATGGGGCAGGCAGCTGCCTGTTTGTTTAGGCACTTGTAGAGTTGGCATTTGTTTGTTTTGTTGGGCTACACTGAAGCACCTGGAGGTCTGTTCACTGGAGGTAGCCTGTTTGCCTGGAGCTACACTAAAGCTAGGGGATTCTGGCTGCTGGAGGTTGTTTCTTTCCCAGAGGCTATGCTGAAGCATTGGGCAGTTCTCAGAGCTGGAATTTCCACGTTCCCCTGGCTATGCTGAGGTAAGTAGGGGGTCCTAGTGTTGGCATTCGCGTGCTTCTCCACATTGGGGTTTAGGATCTACCACTGCTTTTTTGAAGTGGGGCTTGCTGCTGGCTTGCTGGATGCATCCTGTCCTGTTTGCTTTCCTGGACTGTGCTCCCCTTTTACCTAAGTGAGACAGACCTTTCTTGCCAGTCATCCAAGTTTCTTGGGCTCAAACATTGTCCCCACCCCCCATCTTTTTGCTAGTTCTGCTATTTCAGGATTTGTTTTTTGGGTACTATTTTATGATTTTTTGGAGTAAGTATGGAAGAGTTATGGCTTATTCTTACTCTGCAATCTTGGCTCCCAGAAGCTGTCATCTCTATCCATGCTTTTTCATCCCTTGAATCACATGGCCTTGACTTTCGGGCCTTCCTATAAACATATGAAGCAAAATGACCTGTTGCTTTTAGCATTGGTTGGTCCATCTAATTCTTCTGAGGAGTCCATTTAGTCCCAGAAAAAAAAAACTTGACAATTTTCTAGCCAAACTGGCCTACTTGTTGTTCCATAGGCAAAATATTCCATTGCCCTCTACTTAATATTTGCCCCATAGAATTCTTTGCTTCCTTCAAATCAAAGTTGAGATATTTCTTCCTATAGGAAGCCTTTTCTGTTGCTCTTTTGTGGTTTGTTCCTCCCCCCCCCAACCCTTAATTATTTTATGTCTGTTTTGTATATACTTATACAAGGTATTACCCTTTTGGATTTGAATAGTTTTTAATAGAAAAGGCAAAAACAAGGACATTGTAAGAGAAACACAGAGAAGACATTCAGTGTAAAAACGACCGAAGTGTCCTGTTTCCTGATATTTAATTTGTATGTGATCGATATGGTAGTTCTTTAAGGTCAAATAGCTGGGAAAATCTAATATCTAGAACTCTTTTGTGACTATTTGCTTAGTTATGACTTGGCTAGAAAAACTGTGAATTTTGATTTTCATTATATGCTAGAGGAATCATTTCATATAAAAATCCTACTTTGGGTCAGTGGGGTTGGTCAAGATAAGACCTCCAAATGTATCAGAAAAGACCTTTGAACTGAGTCTGAGTGCCTGCTTTGGCAGCACATATAGAAAAATTTGAAGGATACAGAAAACATTAGCATGGCCCCTATGCAAAGATAACGCACAAATTTTTGAAGCTTTCCATAGTTTCCAAGATGTCAATGGATACTGGAAAACTGGTGAATGATGAGATGGTCATGGAACCTGTGGAGAAGAACTTAGATAGCCCTCCTTGTGAAAATTATTTTCTCTCAGATGGCTTCCCTCAGACATTGAGACAGGCAGATATGCTTGAAGACCTCATGGACAAGAGGAAAGAAAAGCTAAACTCAGTAACTGAGTTCAACACTGCCAATTCTTTACTAATTTTGAGAGCCACAGGAAAGTTAATTGATCCTGCCAGTGGCCACTCCTACCATGAGGAGTTCAACCCTACAACACATAAAGATGACATCACTGGGGAACCCTTGATTTGGACATTCAGATGATAACAAAACTTCTTCGCAAACCTGCCTGAAATTGTATCATACTCAGACTGCCCCTGGGTAAAGTACCACAGTAAACCAGGGATACATTCTGCCGTGGATGCTTCTAAGTTCACAGATGTGATATTTGCTGGCATCCTGGCAGCCTTCTCCAAAATGACATGTGAAGAAACTGAGGCACAGAGAAGTTAAGCGGTTTGCCCAAGATCATACAAGTACCAAATGACTGCAGGCTAGACAAGATCATACCTTGGTTAACCAAATTCAGAGCATGGATCTGAACTTTTAAGTGCTGAGCAGAGGGGAGGGGTTGGTGAGGAACAAGAAGGGATAAGACTATTGGGGGGAGATTGTTTCAGTGGGTCATTGTTTTTTCCTGCTAAAGTAAGAAGTTTTATAAACAGTAGTTAGTTGGGAAGAGAGGGTATGTTGGGGAGGAAAGTTATAGATTTTTAAAACTCCCAAGGTGAAGGATATGGGGAAGAAAAGGAAGGACTAATATTAATTCTACAAGATCCCTTGGGGACAGTTACCTTTCATCTAGGAATATGATTGTAATTGAAAAGCCATTTACCTAAAACCTCAGTTGTCATTGATGGACCTCTAAACTTGCCATATAGGGAGAACAGTGATTCCTGCTGTTGTCTCGTCTCCAGTCTGTACCTTGTAACAGGGTAGGTTTTGGTTGCTGACTTTAACACCCATACAGTTTGTTTTCCTCTGGTAGAATTCAATTTCACTGAGAGGAGTGAGTCATTTTCTTTTTTGTCTTTATATCACTAATGCCTAGCAATGCAGCGACCTGGCACAGAGTAACCACTCATTAAATACTTGTTGAAGTTAATTAAAATGATTCTTATGCCTATAATCTTCACTTTATTCCTTTTTACATTTCTTGGCTTGTTATTGTATAGATATAACCTAAACAAATTACTTCTCCATGTGGTACTTATTTACTTCACTACAGCAGTTATGTGTTGAGTTATTTTTATAGTTGTAATGTTAAAAATCCCACATTCCATCTACCACACATTTTCCTGGTGGCTTCTGGGACTTACGGTTTACATGTGTGGCATGAATGCAGAAGGTACAAGAGCAAATCCCTGGCTATGGAACAACAGTCGCTCCATGTTCTAGCAAAGCAAACCAGCCACAGGCTCTATCTTTCTGTAATTTCAAAAAAAAATGATTTGAGCAACAGTTGGGTGGTTTTATAAGTGTGATTGCATAAGTGTGTGCTGAAAATAATTATGCTGTGCTTGAATTCATAATTTTAAGACATTTTGTCTATAACTAACATTATCCTAGTCTCACAATCAGTACCTGTCAGAGTCCTACAGCCTCAGATACCACCATGCTGCACTTAGCTGAAATCATTTTGTTTTCCTCTAGAAATGCAATGTTCACTGAGGTTAGTGGATGTTTTCATTTTTCTCTTGTATCACTGATGTCTAAGTGAATAGAAAAGAATTCAGAAGGCTCATCCAGTGCTCTTGTTAGTGCCTTTTGGACAAAGTCTTCAGTGCCCTCCCTGACCTTGCTATACTCTGCACTGCAGGTCTCAAACAGCTAACCTCAAAGCAAAATATTTTTTCCCAGAGTAATTCACAAAAAAAGAGGAATATAATCCAGACACACTGAGAAATCCGCCCAGATCACCAGACACCGTGGCACTATACTAACTGCCTCCTAGTATGGTGGTACCTGCCTATAATCATTACTAAAATGGAGGTTGACGCTGGTGGATCTCTTGAGATCAGGAGTTCTGAGCAGCAGCAGATAGAGTGTCCATACTAAATCTGATACCAGCGTGGTGATCTCCTGGGACTGGGGTACCACCATCTTCCCTATGGAGAATGAATCAGAGAAGCAAGTCAAAGCTTCTGTGCTAATCAGTAGTGGGATTGGGCCTGTGAGTAGCAGCTGCATTTCCAGCCTGGTTGTCGTAGGCAGACCCAGTCTCTCAAAAACAACATAACTATACTGATTAACCACAAAGAAGGCTCACCTGGATCTCTGGTACTCCCATCTGTTAGTTCATTAAATTTCAAATTCACAGTATAATAGCCAGTTCGTGGAACACCAGTCTGGAGACCTTGACTATTTCTTTTTTCATAATTGGTCAAATGGAAAATTAATACAGGAAAGGCTGTTGTGTTCCTTAGAGATATTGGCACCAGCTTTTTCCTCCTCCTCCTCTCTCTCTTTCTCTCTCTCTCTCAATTCAACTGTTCTGTGGATGTGTAATAACAGCTAACTTATCTAGAAGACAGATGTGGAAAGGATTCAAAGTCAACACGGAAAGCTGGGATCAGTCAATTACTAGTTCAATAAGTATTCACTTTGTGATGATATTATTTTAGTCACAATGAATAAATTCCAAATTCTCCAATCTGATATTTAAGACCCCCACATAAACTGGACCTACCTTTATCCATTCACACAGTCATCTATTACTATTCCTGATTCCAGCAATAATTATAATTATTGCAAATCCTGAGTTAGTTGAGTCCAATTGAATAAGCTCTTATTATGATGAATAGTTGAGAGGATTGGAAAACAAAATTTGCTGCAACATAATGTAAAATACCTAAAGTTTTAATATGATTATGTGTTGATATTAAAATATTATAAAATTTGCAAGCAACGATTTCTAAAAAAAGATTCCTCTTTTTTCTCTTCTTTTTTTTTCTAAATCTGCATTTGAAGATGAAGTGAAACTAATGCAAATTCTTCCAAAAATTAGAAAAAAATTTTGGGGCTAAATATTTAGACTTGGCCTTAAAAGGGATCTAGGCAGCTAGAAAGGAGAACTAAGAGACTGAGGAAGGCTCTAGTGATCCTTGGAATAGTTTTCCTGGAGAAGAAACTTGTAAATCTATGACGTTCACCTAGGAAATCCTGTGGCCACAAGGAAGGTTGAAGTAGAGTAATCAAGGAGTTCTAGACAAATGGAGAAACAAAAAGTCTCAAAAAGAAGAGGAAGATTTCAGATAAATAGAAATTCTGGATTCCAGGTTGCTCTTCTATCTCCTGCTTGGTACAGGAGGGTTGGCCAGTAACCCTAAAGAAAAATGTTAATTTTTGAATTTTATTTTATTGAGGCACTGCCTCATAAATTATTCAATTCAATAAACATTCATCAAGTACTTATTACATGTGAGATGTTTGGGATGAAAAGACGAAATTAAAATTATTTGAAGGAAGTTCCATTTTATTTTACTTGGTTCATTATATCGTCATTAGGAAGAACAAGTATAACCTGGATTTTATAAATGAAGAGTGAAGGAGTGTGAAATTGTTTATTACACAAATTCAGTTAACTTGTAAAACAAGCGTAGATTTCACCAGGTGAAAAAGCACGCATCATCCCTACTTTCCCCCTCAGAACAGTGATTCTAATTTTGAGATGGCATTCTGTCACAATTATTGTGTGAAGCAATTCATTTAATCTCTGTGTGCCTCAATATCCTGAACTATAAAATTAAGGGAGTTATTTGGATGATCTTTAAACTATCCTTAATTCTAAGATTCTGTGTAAGAAGGACAATGACTTTGATGTAGCTTTAGGAATGCAGGGCAAAGCTTTTTCAGCTCTAGTGTTCCTGGTTGTTTCCTTGAGCTATGTCAAAACTCCTCTGCAGTTTGCTTAGTACTTCCAGCAGCATGATGGGAACTGAAAAGTATTTACTTAACCAAACCTAAATATCAAGGAGTCCTGGAAGAATTCTGCCAAGGAGAGTGAATTTGTGGGAAAAGAAAAATCTTGCCTGAGGGGTTCTTTTGTCCACTGGCTGAATGTGGCTAAGGAAGGAGCTGTAATAATGCTAGATTTGGGCAATCTTCAAAAGGAGACATCATATTATTTTTGAAGATTTCTCAGCAGTCAAAAACAGCTACAGCCAATGGTAGCAGGTAGTCAGAAAAATAGAAGTCTAGCAGCAAATGTTAACTGGAAAAAGCTAAGTAAGAAACAGAGGTCAGCGGTAGCTCTTCAGAGAAACAGTATAGCAGATGACAACAGCAGCTCTTTGGGTAAGTAAGGGTTAATGTCTTAGGCAGGAAGGAAATGTGGAATGGATCATGTCACAGCACAGAAACAACATCAGCTGCTGAGACCTCTTGTTGCCAGCTGCTTTTGCGACTCTAAGTAGGTCACTATCTGCCTTTTACCTATGACTCACTGCATAGTATTATAATTATTTGGGTAGAGTCGTGTATAATCAAGGTAAGGAACTCTGTCACCTTTTTCTCTGTGTGCCTAGCACCTATCCTAGTGTCTTAGGTGCGTGCTATGTATATAGTAGGTGCCAGTATGTAGTAGTATATAGCAGGTGCCTAATAAATTTTTCATTTCCATTGAATGACATATATCCTGTGTTTGGTAGTTGTCTTCTATGTGAGTTTCAGAAGAAGCATTTATGCACGGTTGTGTTTTTGTTTTCAGTTTTAAAGTTTTTCTGGCACTACAAAACTTGCACCTGTTCCCACTGAATCTCTTTCCTTATCTATCAATCCCCTGTTCTCATTTGCTGTTCACCCTTCATCTCCTCCCCTTTAGCTCATACTGTTCCTTAATGTTTAAATTTCATTTTTGGACCCCTCTCCAAAAAGCATCACTCTCAATCTCTTCATTATCCATCTTCTCTTCCTGTTTGTCCTCTCA